GAAAGATTTAGTACTAATTACATCCTGTGAATTTAGTTAGGTACTTGGGGTTGGAAGAATTCTTGAAGTCTGCTTGCAGTTTAGCAGGGCCTGGGGATTGATATAATCCAAGATCCACTGAACCTTCCCACCCCGTGTGTGAATCCCAAGATCAGTCTGGTTGCTCTGCAAGAAGACAGAGGAGACTGGAGTGGTTCAATTAGTTTTACTGCTGTAGCTATACATGATCAGATGGTAGGGTTTCAATGTAGTTCTGAACATTTCAAAATGATGTTTTGAAGGAATTTGCCATTATTCATACCTTAGAAGGAAAATATTGCTGGTAGATAGGTTCAACTAGATAATGAAAATGTTGATTTTAGAATTAATTTTTTGTTTATCTTGGATATGAGTGCACCTAATACAGAGGTTCACAGCCTTGCAGAAAAAGTAATGAAGCTGTTCTGTTAAAAACTGTATTCAAGAGTACTGGGAAAACTGCCCGGTTTCCCTCATCTGCCTGTCCTCTGTGGTAACTCCTTTTTTTCCTCACTGAATGCTGGCAAATGTCTGAGACCCACTACCAAGCAGGCAAAGGACTGAGTTGGTCAGTGTCTCCTTCTAAACTTGTCTATTAAGAAGATATGTAGAGCCAGGTACAGTGGCTCACACCTTTAATTCCTAGTACTCTGGGAGGCCGAGGTGGGAGGATCGCTTGTGGTCAGGAGTTTGAGTACAGCCTGAGCAAGAATGAGACTTCATCTCTACAAAGAAAAAAAAAAAATAGAAAAATTAGCCGGGTGTGGTGGTGCATGCCTGTAGACCCAGCTGCTTAAGAGGCTGAGGTAGGAGGATGGCGTTTGAGGTTGCAGTGAGCTATGATGACGCCACTGCACTCTAGCCCGGGAAACAAAGCAAGACACTGCCTCAAACAAAAAAAAAAGAAGAAGATATGTAATAATGAGCTACTTTATAAAGTTGGTACAGAATTTGGACTAATGATATATCTAGAGAAGTTGTTTTTTAGCCTAGGCAGAAACTTTAATGTGAATAGGGAACTAAAAATTAGTGTTCCCTTGATAGTCTGCAGTTGACAAAAAGTTAAAGAATCCAGTCATTCTCTGAGGTGCTGAGGGTTAGACATAACCACAGAGCCTTAAGTGCTCCATGAGGACCAGGCCCATCTTGGAAGTTGCAGGTAACTCTTCACCTTTCACCAGTGCCATTGAGTGGAGGTGCATCCACACTGAATTACTGAATTGCTGGGGTCCCATTGGGATTCAGTGCAGCTTATGTTTATTGAGCTCCTATCCAATACCAAATTGAGAGATGTGTAAGACATAGTCTTTTCCATCAAGGAATTCCTGTTGAGTGAAGAAAGCAGGCCTGTGGATATTAACAATGTAGAATGATAAATCTCAGAGGAGGAGCACTTTGTCCAGCCAAGGAGGGTACAGAGAAATTCCAGGAGATAACACCTAAAAGAGAAGTGGAAGGGAATTAGGCAGAGGGCCCTCAGCAGACATCAGTGCCTGTGTCGTGGGCAAGGAAACTACACACGGTCCACAGGAAGTGATGATGGGTCTGAAGAGATCTTGGTAATAGACAGTTATTGACTGAATGTAAGCAGCAATGTACCCAGAGGCCAGATTTGCTTTTGAGAAAGAAAGAGTGCTGGAGCAGCAGTATGTTTAGTAGGGGGACAGGGAGATAAAATATTTCTGATTCTCATCACAGCACAATTCCATCTCAGATTTATTGATTAAAACACTCTAAAGTAAGCCAAAGTAGATAGAGGTGATGACAGGTAAGAGGGGAGTGAGATGTTTTCAGGATTCACTATCTATAGCACCACCTTATCCCGTGCATAATGTGGGGCTGCGGCTATGCTTTACAATCCATAGCTGTGAGGAATGGAACACACTATCTTGGACAGAAGCATTAGGTCGATTGTGAAACCAAGGGGTCGACTTCCGAGTAGTGACAGCTTTCTGACAGCGGCGTAGACATTGATCACAGATAAGCTTCTGCTGGGCTCACTGTTGCTTTAACCACCTTTACACACAGATAGGTCTAACCTTGAGCAGCATGTCCCTTTGGCATTTGTTTATGCCATTGTAAAACGAAGGGACTGGCCATTTCATAAATGGGCATGTATGTGTATATTCACATTATATGAAGATATATTTCATAGAGAGATGTTCCATTATGAAATAAATAAAATTTTCACTGCACTTATTAGCAACTTGCTATGAATTGATTTTGAAGAGGCCATTCCAGCCATTATTGGGGAGTGGATTAGGGAGCAAGAGTAGGGCCAGGGACCAGCTAGGAGTCCTCCATGAATGAGAGATGATGGCAGTGAACACGAAGAATTGTGGGTGGAGCTGAGAAACACGCTTTGAAATGATCAGACTTGCTGACGGGCTGTTGTGAGGGGTCTACGGTCAGGTGAGAAATCCAGGATGAGTGTCAGGGTCTGGGTGGGGAGGGAGGGTGGAGTTAGGGACCTGTTGAATTTGAAGTGATTGGGAGACTTCCAGATAGAGACATCAAAAGGCAATTTGGTGTTTTTTCTGGTAGAATAAACAAAAGTAAAATAAAAAATAATAAGTCAGGCGTGGTGACTCATTAGTCCCAGCACTTTGGGAGGCTAAGAGTTTAACACCAGCCCGGGCAACATAGTGAGACCCCATCTCTACAGAAAAATTAAAAAATTAGGTGGCATGGTGGTACGAGCCTGTAGTCCCAGTTACTCGGGAGGCTGAGGCCGGGGGATCTTGTGAGCCCAGGAGTTCAAGGCTGCAATGAGTTGTGATTGCACCACTGCACACTAACCTGGGCAACAAAGCAAGACTGTCTCAGAGAGAGAGAGAGGGAGAGAAAGTTTAATATAGCTTTTAATGTTTCTTCAGAAAGTGTTCAGTTCACGTTCTTTTTTTTTTTTTTTTTTTTAAACAAGACAAGGTCTCACTCTGTCCCCCAGGCTGGAGCGCAGTGGTGCGATCATAGCTCATTGCTGCCTTGAACTCCCAGGCTCAGGCGATCCTCCCGCCTCAACCTTCCGAGCAACTGGGACTATAGGCGTGCGCCACTGCACCTGGCTTCAGTTCACATTCTTAATAACCACTTGCCTTTTATTGAGCATGTGTTTGGTGCCCTGCCCTGTACTAAGAGTTTTATACCTATTTCATTTAAACTTGGAAAGAACCCTGTAAGGGAGATACTGTTATTGTTCCCAGTGTTGGGTGAGGAAGCTGAGGCCTGCGAGGTTAGGCCGAGGGCCCAGAGATGATAGCAGGTGAGCGGAGTGGCTGGATGTTCCCAGGGTGCCTGCGACGCTGCTTGCCTTGGCATCTTGCTCTGAGCATACAGCTCACTGTGATTTTTCTCTCTTTTCAGGGTTTTGGTTTTTTGCACTGAATGTAACCTAGATTCATCCGCACGGGCTTGTGTTGCCCCAGGATACTGTCAAAGGTAAGTTTTTAAAATGTACATCCACTGTGTGTATGTACTAGCAATGAAATGGGAGAGTCCTCGGATGGCACAGTGGCTCACACCTGTAATCCTAGCACTCTGGGAGGTTGAGGCGGGAGGATCGCTTGAGCTCGGGAGTTCTAGTCCAGCCTGAGCAAGAGTGAGACCCTGTCTCTACCAAAAATAGAAAAATTAGCTGAGGGTGGTGGCACTTGTCTATAGTCCCAACTACTCGGGAAGCTAAAGCAGGTGCTTGAGCCTGCCCAGGAGTGTGAGGTTGCTGTGAGCTACAGTGACGCCACTGCACTGTAGCTGGGGTCACAGAGCGAGACCTGTCTCAAAAAAAAAGGAGGGGGGCGGTTAGAAGGGAATGGGTAAATTCACACCTAATGGGTATGGTGTGAGATGTGTGGGGGTTGGGCACACTTGTAGCTCCGACCTGGGAGTGCAAAGGCAATATATGTAACCAAAGCATTTGTACCCCCGTAATATTCTGAAGTATAATTAATTTAAAAAAAGAAAAAAGAAATGGAAGAGTCCTCATCTTGAAAAGAAGAAAATTATTTTGTGACATTGTTACTCCTTTCCCGAGTTCTTACAGAAGGATGTTTAAAGTGGCCATCACATCTGCCCCTTGCATTCCTGCTGTATGGTAGGTCCCTCAGAAAAGCACTGGTATAGATGGATAGTGACATTTGGTGCCTCATCCTGGAAAGCTAGATCTTAGTTATTAGAAATAGCAATTCCAGGGGTTTTTGTGAGTATATTCATAGCTTCTCTGCCTCTCACCTTTGCTTCAGTTTGTGGTCCACGTTAGCTTTCTAAATGATAGATTTACTCAGGTCACACCTTTGCTTAAACACTTCTTATAGCGCCTAGTAGCTACATATGCGATTCTACAAACCCCTTCAAAATCTAATTCCAGTCACCGTTTCTGGCTTCTTTTTCAGTGAATCCCTATCTGTAAGTGTCAACAGACCACCTTTCTGTTTCCTAGATATGTAGTTTTTTTTTTTTCATGGCTTTGTGCTTTGGTTGATGCTTTTCTCTTTGCTTAGAGTTTCGAAGAGGAGAGAAGAATGCAACTCTCTACTCTTCCTTTTTGTAGTTTGCCTCTTGTCCCCTTCTCCCAGACTCTCTTGACAGAAATTCTTTTTCATCTGTATTCTAAGTGCCCCTGTTGTTATTACAGTAATAAATTAATTATTATTTTACATTAAAATTATTTATTTCTGTCTCCTCTGCTAGTCTATAAACCCTTTGAGACTTCTTAGAAAGGAACTAACTTATTTTTAATGCCTGTGGGCTGCTCCTAGACACCTTGCTAAGAGCTATACATATGTAGTTTAATTTAATCCTTCTAACACCTCTTCCTGCTCAGTTTTATGGATGAAAATACTGAGGATTAGAAGGTGAAGTAACTTGAGCAAGATTACACAGCTAGTAACTGATAAAGAATAATGATTCTGCTCCTTCAAAGCCTCAGCTCATTCTAGTACACCACACTAGCCCAGCACCATCTGGCATGTGCTAGAGGCACAGTAAATGTTTACTGAATTGATATCTGTTGCATTTTAAATAAAAATCACTATAGTTGACTAATTCAGTCATTCTTACATAGAAAGTTATTGAATACCTATTAAATACCAGGTACACAGTTTTAAGTAGACTACGAGTACAGAGATTAACAAGATATAGTGGCTAGTATCAAGGGGTTGACAATCTAATCCCTATCACGTAGAGGCATCTATGTGAGCAAATAAATCCAATAAAGTATTACAGATCCTGTAATAGAATTCAAACAAGATCCACGGGGAGCACTGAGGAAGGAATCCTTACTTCTGCGTGGGGATGGATGAGGAAATATTTTATAAAGCTGAGTCTCAAGTGATGAGGAGGGTGTTCCCTGGTGGCACTGGGGGAGGGAAAGGCAGAGAGAGTTATATGAACAAAAACATGGAAACTTGAAACAATCTGGCATATTGGCAAAGCTGTAAGTAGTTCAGTATGGCTGGAACAAAAGGAACAAAGAGACGAGGCAGTTGTGGCTGGAGAGACAGGTGAGGGCTGGATCCCGGAGGGATTGGAAAATATTAACCTATTTGCCAACTTTCATAGAAGACCTTGCACAGATGCTGTGACATTACTTGTATTTAGTCATTAACATTTGTTGAGTCCTGTCTTGTGTATGCCAAGCACTGTGCCAGGTCAAGACTGTCCGCTGCTTACCATGCATGGCAAACTGGTGACTACTCTGTGGTGCAGTGATGTTCTGAAGCAGAAACCAAACCCTTGTGTTGTCACATCGTCTTATGAGAGCTTTGGCCGTATTTGTTTACTCCTCCAGTTGGTTTTTACATAAATGAGCTTTGCGTTGACTTGTTCATGAGTCTGTTAGCACCAGCACAGAGACCCTTTGTCACTTCCCAAGTGGAATGCTTAGGTGACCATGTGCTTCCGCATTGCCTACTTTATTCTCCTTACATTTTGTCAAAAGGACAGTAAAATTGACTTAGATCCCTAGACACACTATAAGTCATGCCTTCAAACGATAATGTCTTCAAGGCTTTTTCAAGAAACACATTAAAAACTATTAAAGATAATTCCAATAATAACAACAAATGAGAGCAAATAAAATAAAGAACAGAGAAAAATGGTTATCAATGTGATGTAGAGTAAATAGATTATATGGTGTTAATCAGGAAAGATTTTTAGAAATAAAAATTGACTGGAGAATAGAAAGATAGAGATGCGGGTTGGTGAGGGAAGGGATTTCCAGTAGGGCGTGGCCTGGGGGTATACATAGATAGGCATTGGCATGTGTGTGGAAGGAATGGAAGGGTTTGAGGGAAGCGCAGAATAGTGTGTACATTCGAGTAATTAGAAATGAGGTTAGTGCAAAGCTTAGGAAATGAAAGTATGTTATTGGTGCTGTAGTAGTGGGCTACTTGGGAAGATGAGGCTGATGCAGAAAATTGAACTTAATTCTGAGGGGGTAAGTTTAGATGTAAGTTGGGATTGAATGGGACCCAATAAATAATATTCTCTTCCCTTCCAAATTCTGAATCAACAGAGACATGGGACAAGGGAATAAGGCAGGTGGAGATCAAATTTTCACTTCTATTATTAAAAATGTCAACATTGGAGAACTAGCTGAAACCTAAGGGCAAATAGGCTTCCTAAAACTGAGTTCCAGGACTTAACAGGTTTATTCACCCAGCAGCACCAGTCTGGGATTAACTTGCCTCCCAGAGGAGCGGAGGAGCAGAGCGGAACAGGTGCCCCCAAGGGAAAGGGGAGAGGATGGGCCTGGACGGTCTAAGTCCAGGTTCTTCTTCCAGACTTAATTAGATAAGTCACTTCACCACTGACAGCACGAGTCAGGGATATGGTAATGCCAGAAACATTAAATAATTGATATTTTCTCACATGGAAGGAAGCTTAAAGAGTGGGGAAAAAGTTTTCCTCCCCTAACATTCTCCAGCTTTTGTCTGTTAGCACATTGGTTTTAACCAGTAAGTCTGGGTCAGGGGGCTATGCCTATCTCCTTCCTCCCTCCCTTCCTTCCATCTGACCATCTTTCCTCCCTGTATGAGGTATAGTCAGAAACTTCTTCATTTCTGTTTCCCCTTTGAAGCACCTGTATAAGCCTAGCACTGGCAATTTAAACATAGAACTTCACTGATTTTGTAATGCATTTGTGTGTTTGAAATTCAGCTGCTTTGCAGCTTATATGCAGCAAATAATTGTTCTACTTTCTAATGTCTAAAAGGCCTGCAGGAAGAAAGTCTCTTTTCCCTGAAGTGTAATCTTTACCTCAGCCATGCCTGCTTAGGAAAAGCTGCGCTGGCATAATTCAAGGTCAGGCAGCAACCTTCTGTACACTGAAGCCACCCAAGCCTGCTAATGCCCTACTCCCTTTGCTGAGGCCAGCACAGCTGGCATTTGCTTGCTAGGCCAGAGTGGCTAGTGTATGCTGAGGCCACCTGCAGAGCCGACGTTTAAATGAGCTTTCAGTGCCACCACTACCACCACCACCACCCCGCAATCGACTATGGCTTCTTTCTTGATAAGGCTCGCAAAGCCCCCAGCCCTTTACTAAGGCTGTGTGCCTAGTGCTTGAAGCCTTGTCACTATAGAAACAGCCACTTCACTGAAGACAAAGTTGCCATAACTACAGTTACTGCTAAGGTCAAAATACCATGTGGCCTATGATTTATAAATCTCTAATTCAGCCTCAATAGTTAAAAGCTAGTGCACAACTGTAAAAACAACAGTACAAAGCCTAACGTAAGCTTCTACAAGAAAGCACTTTTTCCCCCTTTAAAGTCCAAGGCCTAAAATCCTGGCCTCAACAGAAGCTTCAAAAATTCCACATGTATTTCACTCCCTTGAATTTTACTTTATGTCTGTTTATCAAGATTTTAGTCCCATGCACCAGATGCTGGGGTCTTTGAGACCCAATGAATAAGGACTGTCCTTCCCTTGACTGAGTTCTATACAAATTGAGAAATACGATAAAGAGGAGGGCATTTGGGAGACCAAAATACTGACTCTGTTACTAATAAAGCTGTATTGGAGAATGTGACTTACATCTACAGGCAAGTGAACTTAACACTGAACCTCAGAATTCTCCAGACTTACCTAGTCATGGGTAGTTGTGAGGGTCTTGCATTTATGGGCGCAGGAGCAGAGAAGCATGTTGCCAGCCACTGGGTGTTTTAGTAGCCTTTGTTGGTTTCCCTTAACTCTTCTACCCTAACACATTGGAAAATCGAGGGCTGGAGTAGTAGAGAAGGTAAGACTTAAGTGCCCACTTAACAACAAATGGACAGGATCTTGTTGGGAGATGATGGATTTTAAGAAGTGAGCACAGGGGCAAAAGTCTTGGTTAAAGCCTAAAAGAGGGGGGTAGTAGAGAGGGTGGGGGAGGATAGATGACAGAGGTCAGTATTGGGGGCAGAGAAGAGGGGTCAGTGAGGGGAAAGAGCAGTGACTGTCAGAGAAGGGAGAACTAATTGAGCCAGGCAAGTCAGGCCAGAAAGAGACTTGAGAAAAATAGAAGAGCCAAATAAATAGGAGAATCTAGAAAGGATAAAAGTAAAAAAAGCTAAGTTGGAGGAGAAGTCAGCAAGATGGGAGCAGTGGCCTTTCATAGAGGAACACAACCACTGCCAGCCTTCCTTCCTCTACTGCCCTCCTGTCTCCTGCCAGTGCCTCCCAATAGCTCAGCCCAGTCAGCAGCCAGAAGATGAGAGAGCCCAGTGATGGAGTCCCTTGGGGCACACGGTCAGGTAGAGAAGAACAGAGCGTTGATCTGAAGGGGCAAGGAGACAGTACGCAGCGCTGGACCCAGGACTGTCCATGAGCGTGCGCCCAGGAGCGTGAATGGAGTTCCAAGGTGTCTTTCTGGTTCAGCTATGCCTATAATGCATCATCTATGAAAGGAGTCTCTGTTTCAGTAAAGTAGGAGAACTTAAAGACATTGTGAAGCAATTTGCATATAAAACCTTTCTGGATGTGTTACTGAGTTTTTCAAATGCTATCAACTTAATTTTTATAGAAAGAGCAAATTTTTTTTTTGGCACAACTATCATAAACAGGTGAGGGACAAAATCAACTAGAAAAAGCCTGTTTCGCTTGCTGTGAACATCAGTTGTGTGTTTTACAGTGGGAACAGGCAATGTTGATTAATCTGGGAGTGAGTGAATGGATGTCAGTTGAGAGTTAGCTATCCCGATTTTACATTTCACATCATGTAAATATATATTTGTTCCCAAAAACTCTTGTTAGGTGAGCACAGTAGATCTTTTGATAACCCTTTCAGACAAGAAACCGCTTCCCCAGAAGTGCCTTCTTGGCCTAGGTCTTGTGGCTCATTATAGAGAAGCCTGGACCGGGACAGATCTCCAGGCCCCAGTGCGTACCTAGATTTCTCTTGCACACAGAAAAGCACACACCACCAAGCATCTTTTTACCTTCCATATTTTATAGGTATGAGCCTTCCAAAGTACTTGACAGGTATGTAAATATTCGTACCTGTAGTATAATGGAGATTTGTTTTGTGTCGGTTTGAGTAATTATTCCACAACAATTACGTATTTAATGAATTCATGAAAATGTTGCGTAAGTTTTTAGTAATTTGTTTTTGGCACTTTTTTTTTTTTTTGAGACAGAGTCTCGCTTTGTTGCCTGGGCTAGAGTGAGTGCCGTGGCGTCAGCCTAGCTCACAGCAACCTCAAACTCCTGGGCTCAAGCGATCCTCCTGCCTCAGCCTCCCGAGTAGCTGGGACTACAGGCATGTGCCACCATGCCCGGCTAATTTTTTTATATATATATATTTTTAGTTGTCCAGCTAATTTCTTTCTATTTTTTTAGTAGAGATGGGGTCTCGCTCTTGCTCAGGTTGGTCTCGAGCTCCTGAGCTCAAACGATCCGCCCTCCTCGGCCTCCCAGAGTGCTAGGATTACAGGCGTGAGCCACCGTGCCCAGCGTGTTTTTGGCACATTTTATTTCATAAAATTTTAACAAACTTTTGTTTGGTTTATTTTATTCTCAGAGGAAAAATTATTATTTTTTATTGTCTTGCCTTGTATGTAGTAGCCTAGTCTCATATAAAAATAAATTAACTGATATTTAATTTATTAAGCATATTTTCTTTAAAAAATGGGATCAGCCATTAGAGTGCATCTGAATAATTTCAGTTATAAAAAACCAAGACTGTTGAACATAAATCATAAACCCCAGACACCTGGCCAAGTCCAATAGCCTGAGCCTAACCGAGACAGGGTGACCTGCCGCAGCGAAACAGCTGGTCCGCTGCTTTGCTCGGTGGGCGTCCTTTGTTGCAGGTCGGTGTCTCCTGTAAGAATTTCACTGTCATCACTGCCAAAGCCAAATAAAATAGGAGAAGAAATTTAGAGCTATTAATATTTCAATGCTACAAACCTTTGCTAACTATCTTCCTCCCCCAAGTGGGGGAAGATTTCTTCCCTACCTCTCTCCCTTCCTCTTTCTTACCTAAAATGCCTGTGTGTACACACACAGCTAAGCTACTGAAGGTCATTGCTTCACGGTATCCATGGTCTTAGCGACAGAATTTCGATCTAAACCTTTAAAAAAAAAAAACAAATTTTTGCCCTGAATTTCTTACATGTTTTTTCTCTTCTTACTTCTTTTAGGCAATATTTGTGAGTTTCTGCAGAGTTTTGCACAGTCTGTTCCCATGCAAACCAATGAGGGAGAAGTATCGGAAGAAAGCAGTTCCAAGGTCAGTAAATTACTGAAAGGTACAAACAGTTTGAGTAGAATTGAACAGGAGAGGCTGCAGATGAGTAGAGTGGGTATTTTGTTTTAGGTGAATTTAGAAATTAGATTGATTTCAATTAGAGCCTAACCTAAGATTGAGAATATTTTTTTCTTCTCAATACACTTTTTTAATGTATGTGACAAACTTAGAACTAGTTTTACTGAACTACCGAGAACTTTATGATTCATTTTTAGACTACTGGTACTCTATCTTTTAAATTTTATTATGAAAATTATATACGCTTTTAAAAAATTAAAAGAAATCAGAACTAATAAGATAAAAAGTAAAAGCCTGGTCCTTATTCCTGCTGCACACAGGTGGTCGTTGATAATTTTTAGACATTTTTCTATTATAAATTTTTACACAGTAATTTGTTTGGTTTGGTTTTTCAGTCTAAAGCTGAAGGAATATTATCATCAGACCCTGTATATAAATGGTTATCTGTGTGTTTATCTGCATTTCTGTTTATATCTGGCTCCATGTCCTGAATTTCCCTGGCTCGTTCTCAACATGGTCACATGAGACCCTTAGTATCACCTTTACTTCCCTCTTTCTGCATTCAGAGTTTCTCTAGTTCTTCTCGGAGCTCCTGAGGGTCTCTCACGTTGTCTCCTGAGCAGTCCCCAGCACCCACAGCATTATCTGCCACTCTGGATCCACCAGAAGGGATCCTTTCCTGCCGCCACTGCTGCCAGGACCCTCTGTGGGTAGGCTTATTCCTCCATCAGAGCAAAAGTGGGAAGGTGTCAAGCTGTCACCGAGAACCTCCAGGATATCATGCCAAGTGGAAGAAGCCAGAAACAAAAGGCCACTTGTTGGATGATTCCATTTATATGGCATGTCCAGAATAGATAATTCCATAGAGATGAAGTGCAGATTGGTGGTTTCTGGGGATTGCTGGAGAAGGGGAGTGGCCAATGACTGCTTGATGGGTGTGGGGTTCCATCTGAGCTGATGAAAATGTTTTGGAACTAGACAGAGGCGGGGGTTGCACAACATTGTAAATATAGTCAGCCCTCCATTCCACTGGAATCCATGGATTCAACCAACGGTGGCTCAAAACTATTTACAAAAAAAGCAGTTCCACAAAGTTCCAAAAAGCAGAACTGGAATTTGCCGTATGCCAAGTACTACATTAAATCCATGAAGATGAAGTGATATATAGGCTTTGTTTGTGTTAGGTATTATAAGTAATCTAGAGATGACTTAACGTATATGGGAGGATGTGCATAGGTTATATGCAAATACTAGGCCCTTTGATCTAATGGACTTGAGCATCTGTGGGTTTTAGTATTCATGGGAGTCCTGAAACCAATCCTCCATGGATACTGAGAGACAACTATATACCAAGTGACACTGAATTGTTTACCTTAAAATGGTTAATTTTATGTTATGTGAATTTTGCATTGATAAATTATCAAAATTTTTTAAAAGGAAAAAAATGTCACTGGATTCCCATTATACCAGTCTTTGCTGCCTGTCTCCCTCATGCTGTCATGCACTGAGTTTTAGGGGGGCCACACCTTTCTCAGCAGCTCTGTTGTACTTTGTCAGCCAGGCTTCAGAGAAGCACAGCTTTTGCCCTTGAGTCTGCGAATCCCTGTTGAAAACAGCTCCTTTCGCTTCTTCCTGAGTCCCTCCTGTACAGGACTATGATCTGGTCCCTGGGTGGTGGAGGGATAGACACCAGCCTGTCCTCTTGATTTTTCTTTCCCATCTCACCAGATTTCTTTCTTCTTTTTGTAGCCAAAGGTAAAGCCCTAGACTTTCATCAGACTCATCTAGACCCCGAATCTCATTTAGACGAGTCAGAACCTGTGAGATACATATACACTCTAGGAATCTGCCTCAGACACACACAGAAAAGCATACATACCCAGGACCCCCAGGATACACATGTACCCTAGGATTTCTGAGGTACACATACACTTTCCCCGAGATCCTAATTTATTAATTTATAGTGCAATATAATGTTAAGGAAGATTGGATTTTTGGATCCTCTGGCAAGTACATTTTCTCCCTAGAAAGCTAAATTGTGATTGAAAGATCCCTTGGTGAGCATGTAATTGGACCAATGTAGAATATTTTATTTTGCCATAAACTCAGTTTCTACCTTCTTTTTG